TCTCTATCCATGTTCTGCAAACCGTTTATTACAGCTATGACTTTGTCTTGGCATTGGACTTTAGAAGGCGGGAATATATTCTCACAGCAGAGATTCGATACAATAAATATGTAAGTGCAAATTTTGCGCAATTTTAAGATAATCCGTATATCAAGGACACGCAGAAACACTGGCGAATATATGCAAAAAAAACAGGAAATGTAAAACACCTCTTAACCGGCGTTGACTGCTTGCCTCCAGCAACAGCTTCCAGCGTATCCAGCTTCATGATCTTCTTCGATGGCTCGGTTTCAGTAAAATCAGTGTTATTTACCGTCACATGATTAAACAGAGAGCGCTTCTGTGTTCGAAGGGCCTAAATGGGAGAATAATTCACCAAACAGATCAGATAAGTATTGTAAAAGGCTAGGGGGTACTTTTACACCATGATAGGGGCCTTATCATTATAATGTTGATGCAGCTGAAATCGAAACTTAATGCCACAACCGCAACTAGTTCTCTTCGGCTTCTTATCCTAAAAAGCGTTGCCGCAAAATTCCAGAACTAGCTCTACAAACGACTGATAGTTAAAGAACCTGTTTCTGAACATTGTTCGTAATAACTTCGGCCCTTTCATCGCAGTTTTTCATGTGGAGCGTTCAGCAAAAGCTCCTAAAAGCAATTTTTTATCATTACATAGCGGTTTTCGTTGTAATGGATTTGAATTCTTTCTAAAACTTTGTCAGTTTGAGAAAATGCTGAAAATCACGTAAAGGCAATGCATACCACTTTCTGAGTTGAAGGAAGGAATCAGAAAAGACTGCTCAAAAATACATTTGAATGACAATAGAAAGCACACGGCCAACTCTAGTAAGTTCCGCACAATCTCATCAAATTAAAATGAAAGTAAAATTAAAAAAGAGCAGGGTTGTTAGTGCAACCATTTGAATTATGCATTTTCGCGCTGTTCGAAAAGTTCGAGCTGGAGCGCCGAATCCAGTGGCCTCAACGCTGAAGACGAAGAATTACCAAGAGGGTAGTGTCTCTGATTGTGTTGTCGTTCCTGAAGAGGAGTGTTGATGGATTTGTATGGCTGTACGGTTGGAATAAAGGTAAAGCGGCAGAATCTGCAACACCATCGTATTCACATCGTCGGTCTGGAACGTGCATGGGTCCAAGCAGCTCATTGTGGAGGGGAGAAAATAGGTGATGTGGTCCATGATCCTCATTGATGTGGAGATAGGTTCACCGAATCAGGATAAGATTATATTTGCGGTGTAGAGGAACTATTGTGTATATGTAGGCCACAATTAAGGTTAGCTTAGTGATGGTCACCTATAGGTTCATTTATCCCTACAAATCGAAGCCTATGCTCATGACCTATTCGATATACAACAATCTCAAATCATACATCATTTATCTGTAGAGTGTAGACCATAATGGAACAGGATTGGTAATAGACATGAATACAGCGAATACGACGATATGAATGCACGTGGATACAGTGGGTAGTATCGGGGTCTATAGTTGCATCGGCCGTGGGTAGCGGGAAGGAGAAGTCGGAATCGTTGTTGAGGTCCGTAAAAACGGCGGCCGAGGCTGTGAATGGGAACGGCCAACAAATGTCTGCCCAAATAACTGCAGGACGAAGTCGCACTATTAACGAAATCCTGCATGTAGCAGACGGTGCCAAGGAAGCCCTAGATGTGATAATGCGAAGCTCCACTCGCTACTTGTTAAAAAAGCAGAGCTCAAGCAAGAGCTCAACATCGTTCGTGATGTCTTGTCTCAGGATTTGCCATTAACGACATTTCTAATGTACAGGATTTTCAACTGTCTCAAGCTTCTGACATGTAATCAGCTCCGGGCGATAGTGCCCTATCAGGAAGTTGAGAGACAGCGTTCTGTTATTGTTGGTGGCGTACCAGGGCTGAAGTCATTGAACCGCAAAGGTTGTATTCCATATGATTTCGCTAGTTACTGTAAAATCCCTAACTCTTTGGATGTAGAATTCGACCCACTCACAGTCTATCAACTTGGGGGCCCAAGTAGGCTGCGATAGTTTATGAAAACTTGCCTTGCCATCATATGCTTTTCAACTTTTGCACTGAAGTGTCCACATAAAGGAGTTCCTTACATTAGAAGAAAGGAAACGTTCACAGGCGGAAGTCGCCAATTCGTGCAGAAAGCAAAACTCTGCCCATAACAATGGGGGGTCACTAACCGCCACTCCTTCCCAGACGTGTAGCCAGTTCCTTCCCTAATGTCAGGGGAACTGTTGCTAGGTAGATTAACCCCGAGATAAGAGTTATACTCTCAGGTATTCCCTGGTTTGTCCGTATGCAGAAATTTTTCTATGCAAGTGTAAGTTCACTCTCTAAAAACGGGGTTTTCTCGAAGATATTGTTCTTGATTGATTTTGATGAATTTACTTCCTCGGAAACTTGCTTGAGAGTATGCCACACCCTATCCTTCTTCAGTGGATGACGACCCATAGCCAGTTGCGCATGTGATTTCGCTATGTCTTACACTGCTAACGAAATTGAGGGAGTGCCAGAACTACTCAGCAAGTGAACAACTACATCAAGGCGAGTTGCATTCCCTCAAGGTTCAGCAACGAGTAGTTCTACAAAGCTGGTGCATAAAATGAAAAAATTCGCTGAAAACTTAGTGCCATAGTCCCGCTCTCCGCCCCACATACACTCTTCCCTTTCTTAAAGTATTAGGTCGTGAAGAAAGTTCTTGCGGTTTTGCGCCTCAAA